TTAATAATTTTCCATGCAATATTGGGTAACATTGTGCAATATGAGAAATATCAAAAACAAGACTTTCTCAAAAATAGCTCGAAATTTTTTTCTTTAAAATTTTGGTAGGGAGAGTTCCAAATGGACTAAACAATATGAGATCAATTTCACTGGAATGTATTCTTTTTATTTTTAAAAATACACAGATGTAATTTTTTTAACTATTCTTCATGTAGTTAATATTTATATTACCAGCGATTTGTATGCGTTATTGCATTTTACTGTCAATGTGCTTTAAATGATTTCCAATGAACTATTTCTGAACTCAAAAGTCTTTTTGTGAAAAAGTGTCAAGTTTTCCATTTATAGAAATTATATTTTCTCAAAAACGGCTCAAAATTTTTCAACAAAAAGGGTCATACAGAACGAAGTTTTTCTTTTCTTTCATATTCTTAAAGTCATATATCAGGTCTACCGTTAGGAAATGGAACATTTTTTAAAATTGAAAGAGCGGCGATAGATTGCAGCTGACAAAAGGGTACGAGTGAACCGTAAAGCTAATTCAGAATCAAAAAATTAGTGAATTAATAAGTTACTTTAACTTGTACTTTATGTTTTATGGACTTACTTATTATTTAATATTAAATTATTTAGCTTGAATATAAAAACTTGCAAAAAATTGAAACATCAACTTGTTAATTCCCTTTGTTTTAGGAACTATGAATGATTTTCTTCTTTTATTTTCGAAAATGGCAGACTTTTTTTTATTATGACGTTTTTATTTAGTTTCTTCCTCTTTTCAAATTATGCTTTTCAGGGAGTTGAACAAAGCAAAGAATATCGTTGTTATTTATCCTAAGTTTCTTTTTCTAACTGTGACTTTGTAATGAATAGTTAAATTCAATATTCGCACTGAATAGTGATTGTATTCTTCTAGAATTTGCAAACCTCCCTCATTGCTTCGAGGCTTAATACTAACCCTCAAGAAATACCTTCTAATTGGAATTTTTTATTTTACGAATAGAGAATAAGCAGAACTTTTATATCGCAACATCCCAATGTTATTTATTTTTCGACGTGCTTTCTTCCTGCACGAAACTTTAAGAACTTTCCGAGCCATTTCATCAATACTGATTTTCCCAGCCATATTGATTCTTGTGACTTGGATGTTTACTTCATAACTTCATTTAATTGTAGATCTTTTAATGACGTCATAGACTTTAAAAGTATGTGTAATTGTTCAGTAATAACAAAGAAGAGGAAAATGTTCGGTGTGCTACACATTCACACTAGTTTTAAATTGTTCAATATTTGAAGGATGTACGCGAGCCTAAAATTATTTTTAGGAAAGTGTGAATGCATGCTTGTTTTTGAATTAGCTGATTTATCAAGGTTGAAAGTGACAGTACATGGAAGAAATTAGAGTTTTTTTTTTATCAATGTTTAGTGATTAATATTAAAGAAAAGTTATTTCATGGGCTTAGTTACTCCTTAATACAAACAATAATTCGATTATTGAATCTAGTGATAAATCGAAGGATTTTACTATTGATAATGAGTCAATGTAGTTTTAAATGTTTTTAGCAAAAACTATTTTCAACAGGTTTGTAGTAATTGAATGAAACACGATGCTGACTTATGGAAGACAGAAAAAGCATACGTTAATGTAGAGCAAATTATTTACTTACATATACAAGATTATTTTTCATACAGAGGTTAGATTTGTAATTAATAGAATAGAATAGCAGGGCATAGAATTTACTTATTTTAGTTCAACACTTGTTTGTAAAACTGTGTACATGTGGTTCACATTCATTCACAGTCTCTTATCTAAAAATACATGAGATAATTCTCTGCTATTACGGAAGGAAGCCATGTAAAATGCTATTTTCTATTTTTAGCTGTGGATGTAAAAATGATCGATGCAGACTAAATATTTTACATTGAATTTTTGTGAGTTGGTCGTGATTCTCTGGGCTTTTGACGAATTTATCAAGTTTACTAGATCAACTTGCAGATAGGATATTGGTTATGAAATATTTTGTCAGAAAAATAACAAAACCTTTTTTGCAATTGATTTCTAGGCTTTAGAGCATGAACAATATCTAATGGTTCCATTTACTGACTGAGAATGCCGGCTACAAATAACTTCCTTTTTATTCATTTCCTGGGATTCCTTCTTAAAAATGTGAGTCAAATGTGAACGTAGTGGTTATATATTTGGAATTATGTAGTGCGCTACGTTATGTATTCAGTATTGCGTTTACATTATTCAAGTATATTTAAATTCTATTTAAGTCAAGACTATGCGAAGTTTGCGTATACAGAATTGAAAATTGATATAAGCAACAACAATGCAACCCTATTTGTGCATTACGTAAGAGGATGTTCGGAAAGGAATAGAGGATTACAGAGAGATATTTTTGTTCTTTATCTTCCGAAGAGATATTTGCTTAAATTGAATTTCGTTTTAGCGATACCTCTTATAATACGGATCAACTATTACGACGAAGGTCTCTGGTCCCCTGATTATGTTAATTCCGGTAATATGTTCAAATGGGCATTATTGAGTTGAACGATACCCCACATTGATTTCGCAATCTCTTTGAAACGTGTTTAGACAAGGAATTTTGCTTTGGAGAAAACATTGTATGCAAAAGGCCTACGCGCTACTTGAAATAGAAGTAGTAATTCCTATTTAAAAAAAAGAGTTTGCCGGTATTAACCCAACACGACAATCAAACAATTATCAATTCATAATAGCGTGCATTTCTGTGCACCAGATATCGGTTCTATCATTATTAATTATCTGGCTTGTACTCTGCAGACTAGTACAATGTAATATGGTAATAAAATAATAATATTCACACAAATCATTCTGAAACACACGTAAGTTTCCTTTTCACACAACAATCAAGTGCAAAGCGATATGAGAATTGCAATAAAGTCCAATGCCAGTTTCATACATTTTACGAGTAGAACCAATCGGCAGCAATAGTTTTATCGAATATTCGATACTTCCGCGTAACTAGCTTATTATCATGTGACACTGATAACATATGAACATAACCTGAAAGATAAATTATGCTATATCTTTTGATAATCTAATTTATCTACACAGGATTATCTTCGAAACATTTTATTCATCGAACTGTTAATAAAAATGCTATTAATGTAATTTTCCCCCTTTCTCGCATTTCCATTGATGGGACGAGTCATAATGTGTGAAGCGGCATAGAGTCAATCCTTTCCTTTCAGCGCTGACTGAATATTCTACGCAAAGTGAGTAGCGTACCGCCTATTTAATTACATATTAATATTTGTAAGCAGGATGTTTCAATTGTATAGATACTACTTTAATTCAATAACAATGACCTACCATGCAACTCGTCTTACTTACAGACAGAATTTAAGGGTTGGAAAGAAGGATTGTGAATTGTAAATATTCTCGAATTGAAATGGCAGTACAGGACCCTGAACTGATCATAAAATAATAATAATAATAATAATAATAATAATAATAATAATAATAATAATTTGCGCAAAGCTTTGTAGAAGCATAGACAGTCCCTAGAACTGCTCCTTAGGAAGCTCGTTGCAACCTGGAGTAGATTTTGTGTTCAACCGACTCGTAGCATCTTTAGTCGTGAAACTGAGGATTAATAATATTAATACTTTACTATTCACCATCTAATAATAATGGAATGCTAGTTTTGAGAGCAAACGCTTCATTTAAAGGGATGGAATCTTCGGACGGGACGAATAGTAAAACTAGCTAGATCCGTTACAACTTGCCGCACTTTGTCATTGTATAAAAAGTAAAAACAACTTCACACTAGAACCCAATTTCGAACCGCCAGACATTTTATATATATATCTTATGCCTGGAACTATGCGTGGGTCACATATTGCCAAACATTAATAAACGAACAATTACTTCTAGTCGAGAAATTACCACAACAAAATAGCGAATTTCATTTCAAATCGCAATGGAGCGTGCGTTCGTGCCGTGGAACACGTGGGAGGGTGAAGCGGGGCGCAGTGAAGCGTAGCGGAGAACAAAGAGAGAGCACTCGCCGGCTTAAGCTGCATCAGCACGAAAGGTTCCAAATTAGCACCTTTTAATGCGATTCCAATTCTAGCAAGTCGGGACATACCTAGCATGAATACGTTTGATGTACAGGTGACGATGATATGATTTGAATTCTGATGAAGCAACGGTGGAATCAGAGACAGGAATGAGGCATGGGGCACTAAATTATTGATTGTGTGCGTGTGTACGCGGGGTCGACTTCCAAGGAGTCCCCTCTAGTAAACAAGTATTGGAAGATGCGAGAGAACGTTGCTCTCGGGGGTGGCGCCCACGATGCTACGGGAGAACCTGCTTTGTGCACCACGAATTGCTCGCTGGATTGGGAGGCATTTGAATACCCGAGAGTGCAAACAGAGGTCTGAGGGTAGAGCATGTGGGCGCGCGGTAGTAATGCGTCATCAATAACAAAACATTGGCGTTAATAAACGTCGTTGTTCAAAATTAAACTATTGATATGAGAAACCATAGATGATTTTAATCATCGATGATTTTAAGTGGCTTAGTAACTTATTTCATTAGATTCGGGCGCAAGAATTTGTTTTCACAGTAGCCGTGATTGTTAATTTAAAATTAATTATTTAACTGAAAACAAAGTTAAAATAATAAGAACAAAGGATGCTGGAAGAAGATGATATTAACAGCGATCGTTTGGTTCGAACACACAAACTGAAGGTGGTTTCAATTTTTTAACGTTTACGAAATTGTCATTACGGGAATTTTTCTTCCACAAACAAATCATCGAAAACGTAAAAACTTCGAGCACAAAACACTGACGTTAAAAAACGATATTGACAGTAATATTTCGAGGTTTAAAACGCTAATGTTTCTAGAACAACATGAAAACATAAAAACATCGTCTACAATGTGTGGACACAGCCATCGCTGCCGCATCCCTGGCGGGTGGCGGTTGCGAACAAAGAGCACTCACCGTCGGCGACGAAGGCGCTGAGCGCGGCTGCATCGCCCTGCGCCACCACTTCCTGCGCGGCGGCCTCCTTGGGCCAGCAGGCGGCGTGCGCGGCGCGTAGCAGCACGGAGGGCGGGCGACGCGCGGGTGGCGCGGGCGACGACGGTGCGGGCGACGACGGCGCCGGCGCGGGCGGGCAGCGCGGGCAGGGCCAGCAGCCGGCGCACAGCGCGAATGCCCGCACGCCGCTGTCCACGGCTGCGCGGAAGGGGTCGGCACCGCGCGCAGGTGAGGGGGGCCACTGCTCTGTCACGCCCGCTCCCGCGCCCGCGCCCGCTGCCGCCTCGCACAGCACGGCGCAGCCGCGCCGCGCTCCGCCGCGCCCGCAGCCCTTGGTCCCGGGGGTGGCGGCGGCGGGGGCGGGCCCAAGCGCGGGGTGGGCGCGGCGGCGCGGCGAGGGCACGGGCGCGGGGCGGCGGACCAGGCTGGCCCGGGGTCCACAGCAGCCGGCGTTTTCGCCGTCGGCGGCTCCGTGGCGGCGTGTGTG